TATGGAAAGTAATTTTTTAGACCACCTATTCTAAATGAAAATTTATTTACAGAAGTACTAAACGAAAAGATTTTTTTCCAACTTTTTTCTTTAGATTAGTTTGTGTTGTTTTTTTTGTTTTGTTTTGTTTTTTTCATTTTCTCCGGATAAGCGGACTCCTCTGTATCGTTTTGTAAAAATTACACCACTGATGCCACATGCAGCACGACTTAGTCATTTTAAATAATTTAAAACTGATAGATGAATCAAGAACAAGATTGAGTCATTTCAGTCAAACGTTTCCATTCTATTGACGACCATCGAACAGGGAAAAAGGGTTTTCCAAGCACTGTCATGCTGTATTTGTTACTGGTTTTCGCTACCCTCCTATCATCAGCCACAGCGCAGAATCAGAATTCGGTCGTTTCGACAGTCCTCTGCGATACTTATTTGAGTCACAAACAAGTGAACTTCCAGATCGACATTCACTTTAAGAATGGGAGAAGGATCACCGCCACGTTCACCGGAGACAATTCCAAGAAGTTAACAAAATCCTTGGATGAAAAGGTTCCCCACGCGAATATAAATTTCGTGAAAATCTCCAGTAACATGCAAGAAATTTGTTTTTACGCCCTGGTCATCGATACGGTCTCGTTCATCGACATGCCCATGGTCTTCAAGGCTTCTTGTGAAAGGGGTGACGATCTCTGTCAACAGTTTGATTCTAAGATAAACCCAGCACGTGTTTGTCAACATATACTCACCAACTTCTTAAAGAAGAAGCATGTAATCGCGCCTGATGCGGAGCCTGACTATTCAGGAAAAGAATTTGAAACGCCAGAATATGACATCAGAGGGGACATGGCGCAAGCGGCGATAACCATCGCCGAAGGGTTAGCGGAGGGGGCCAGGCAGTTTGATAAGAACAGGGAAAAGATGTCAAAAGTCCCCAAGATCGCAAACGTCCTTGGCACCTTGGCAAAATTTTTAAAAGCAGCCGGACCATTGTTAAACACTTTTGGTGGTGTCACTTCCATTTTAACTATAAACCTGACACCAAATCCCTTTGACGAAATGGTTGGATACATGAAGAAGGAGTTTGATGAACTTCACCGTCGACTTAACCGCATGACAAAAGAACTCGTAAATGAAATCGTAAAGCAAGGCGCATTGAATAGAATGGCGAACAAATTGGATATCATTCGTTACTCAATGAGGGACTACGGTACCATGATCAACAGTCTTTCAAAGCACAACGTCTGTGGAGTTGATGAACTCCTGGAAAATAGCAAAGTGAAAGTATTTTGGAGAGACTACATAGCGCGTGACACAAAACAGAGGTTAGTGGACCTGATAGAAGTGGAGGGGGGAGGTATTCTGGGAACTCCGTCACTGCTAGATCCTTATATGCGGGCGCATTGCATTTCCAGTCCACTGAAAGTCAAACGATTCATGAAAGAAGTCACAATATACGCCATTCATGGCACACGGGCTTACATGGCTTACAAAACTCTCGAATGCCTGAAAAACGGACAGGATAACTGTGAAATAAATATTATAGACTTGGAAAACGACTTTGCTAAAAAACTCTACCTGTTGTTGAACAAAGCAAACGCCCTGAGGATTGCAGTCGATGATAGCGCCAAGGGACTTTATTTAGAATTTAAGGAAAAATACTTTGAAATGAAGAAACAGTCGGAGGAAAAATATCGGGGGAATAGGAGAGGTCTGTACAGCAAGAAACAAAAAAGTTTCTTTTTTAATGCATTCAGAGACGAATTCTTCCATAGGCTTTTTGATCGAGATGGTTGGGCCCGGAGTTGTATCATTGACGCTAACGACAGGTTAGTACTGGCTCTGGTGGCACAATCTAACGCCACATTAGAAGCCCAAGACTTTTTACCATGGAATTTAGACGGGCGGTCCATCCGATTCGACCACGCAGATATGAAAGTGAAGAACACTCCAAATGCAGACGCCCTAAAAAAGTTCCCTGAGGATGCAAGTGATATCAAATGCGACGATAGTCTTCCCATGCGTGATATCTCTCCTTGCAGAGCCAAAGCCTCCGGTACCAAACCGAACCCTGCACAAGATCCGTCCGACCGCATTGTTTACCTAGAATACAATCCGAAGGTTGACCGCCTTCATGTCACCATAAAATCACTTGACGTGTACAACAAACCAGATTATGATACCGGCTCTAAACCAATCAAGTTAGGTTGTTGGTATGGCGAGAGTGATTACGGGAAGTACGAGTGTCCACGTAAAAAGGGAATGATCCGATTCTTAGAGAAACCAAAAGTCCGTTATTTTGCAATCATAGACTGCAACTCAGATTGAATGCTTTTTTGTTTGTGGACCAACCGCGAAGCCTGAAAATTTGCGGTTTAAATGTTTTCAGATGTCCTGGAATCAAAAAAGTAAGTTCACGCGCAAAAAGTTTGCGCGAAATTATCCGCTAGGTCGATGAAAAATTCACCACCTTAAGCCCACCAAGAAACTTTAATTAAAATACACAAGAAGTAGTTGTTTCCTTTTGCCCTTATTATGCTGTTGCGCCAGTTTTTGTCAGCCTTAAGGTTCTACTGAGGACTATGGAATTCAGTGAAATATTTTTTTTCAATTGAGCAGAGTGCTGGCGAAATGTTTTCTCCAATAAAATAGAGTGCTAACCATAATATAAAACAGCAAATAATTACACACAAGATTCTGTTTCCTTCTACTTGTTAACGTTCTAAGGGTTCGATCGGGAATCGTTAAAATTGGTTCCCAGAAAGCTTCAGCCATCTCAAACCACAAACACCTGTTCGGAAAAACTTAAAAAAACCGTTCAATCGCAGAGAAACCTCCCAAAAAGTTGTCATACTTCACTAGCGTCTTTCCCTTAGAAAGATCACCGGTCATTCACCGTTGCCAAAATTTGAAACAGAACAGTTCTGCTTTACTGTTTTTAATGGTTAGAGGCCGAATAGAAATGAATGTTCCCCTTTGTGAAAGGTTAAGTATCTGGTTATTCATACCGGTCAACTAATTTTCCAATTATCTTCGGCAATCAACGAGCCGTATTTTAATTCGATATAGTTGCTGGGCAATAAAGAGAGAGTGGTCTTCGCGAGCATTTGCGTTTATTTTTAACTCGTTGCATACGCGTGCTGTAGAAAACGTGTTATTTTGAAGACTCCATGTGCAAATACGTCACTCACTGCGGTGGAAATGGTGACGTCACGATAAAGTATACCATTGTGAAAGGTTTGAGGTTCGATTCCTGAAGGTGACAAACTTTGAATGTTTTTTTTCAATTCGATAATGTTTCATTTCCTTGTTTCCCTTTTCCGCTCAACATCATTATGTGTAAATGTTTTTAGTCCCCTTTAATGCTATTGGCGGAATAATAAAAAAAAGTTACTTAAGAACAAAAACCTGTTAGTCAGCGGTAGAGCATCAGAGCGCAAAAATCTAATGGTCTGAAGTTCGTTTCCTTATGAGAACTCAGATTTGTTTTCTTTGTCCCACGCTTGTAAAACGACGAAAAAACGAAAATCACCTTTCTATATATCATCAACGAACCCCAAAAGGTTTACCATCTTTCTTACTAGCTGGATTCCTTCGCAGCCTCCTGCAGTTGAAAATCGCGAGGAAGCTATGAGGAGAGTACCGCAATGAATAGTAACCGTCTTACTAACATTTGAAGACATCCTTTGTTGTACTGTCATTACACATTTTCCCCATCCACGATTAAGTCTTTTACAAGCGTAGCGTTATTCGTCACTGTTCTTAAAAGAAATCATTTCAATTTTACACGAAGAGGAACGCATAGACAACATTCGTATTCCCCGACGGTCCTAGGACGAGTAGGCCCTGAGCATGAATGCGAGGCTGATGCGGGGAGTTGAGGAGACTTCTAGTGTTGAGGAGACTTCTAGTGTTTATGTAGTGATTTCTTCGATTTCGCGTAAAAAAACGCCGAAACATCATTCTTATGCCTACAACTGTACCAACAGCGAGGCTAAGAAAAAGAACCCAATCAAATACCCCAAAGTTGCAAATGTTACTTTCCACTGTTGTCAACAAATGACGAAAAAAAACAGTACGCTCCTGGGATAAGTGGACAGGAAAGACGTCCACGGTGGATCGCAGCATGTCGGCTGGAAAGCCTAAATGTCACAAGGCATACTCGTATATGCTCTAAACACTTTGTAGGAGGGTTAGGGCCAACAAAGGCAAACCCTGTTCCGACGATATTTGATTTTCCTAAACATCTCCAACGAAAAGAAGTGAAACGTGAAACAACGCCAGGATCCGCAGACGAGACGTTTGAAGAATGCTTCCACGAGAAACAGAATTCAGAAGGCAACTAAGTCTGACCAATCGAAGATTAGAAACCATCTGTATTTCTGGATTTCGGATTAAACCATCTCTTGTAACCAACTTCGCATTCACAACATCACCTATGGACTCACAGTCGTCGGTCAATTCGAGAGCAAGTTCGTGGGCTTTTCGGTCAGTTGACTAATTCTTACTTCTTTCAGTTGGAGACAGATATTCCTCGAGCCTGCAGGTATTTTTTAAGCTCTGGAACCTTTCAGTAATTAAAATTTACTTCCATTTCTGCCAAACCGGTCATAACTTTCTTGTATTTCGCGGTCATTTTTCCCCGCATTAGCCTCGCACTCACACGCAAGCGCTTACTCGTCCCAGGGCCGTCGGGGAATACGAACATTGTCTATTCTTTTCAATCAATTGACAGGACCTCATCATCATCATCATCATCATCATCATCATGTTTATTTGTTCAAGCAGGTTGAATTTATCGGCAACTGTATAAGCTGATGTGGACCTGCTGTTTTCCCACCCAACCCACCCCAGGGGAGGACATCCAGCACACAGTAATCTCGTGCGTGGGAAATTAACGTCTCTTACCCCTCACCCTTTAAGAGACGGGACCTCCGGCTTTGCGTCCTATCCGAGAAGACGAAACAATGTGAGTGAAGTGTCTTGCTTAAGGACTCAACGTTAAGCCCCAGCAAGGACTTGAACCCGGGCCGTTTAACCCAGAGTCCAGCGCACTGACCACTGGACTACTCACGCCTCACCTACTTCATCTACGACTTTGTCACGAGTTTTGTTACTAGAAGGGTTTCGAAAGTAGTGCAGCAACTTTCCAGATCAACCAGAGAACAAGACTCTCCGTGGAATCAGTGCCTTAAGACAAGTTTGAGTAGTTTTGAATCCTTTTTGCTGGTCTAATACATAAGAGTGCGTCCTCCATATCTTTTCCTCAAATGAGTTGACCTCGATCCGTAACCGCCGGAGACATTCTCCTCTTCCTCGCGCGACCCAATATTGCTGTACTGCGGATAATCGACGCTGAAACAAATCCGAAAAAAGCAGCTCAAACTAGGAAACTGTGTGAGAGACCATAGACCGCATGCAAATATGGCTGACTACTTGGTAGGCCCGGGTCGAGTTGTACAAAAGCGAGGCCATTCAGTCCTACAGGTTTTTTTTTCCTTTTGAAAACGCAGCTCTTGATTAGCTATGCGCCGTTGTTGATATAATTATATTCTGTTCTATTACGCTGTGCCCACGAGCTATTGTGTTCCTGCATACCAACAAGAGGGAGGAAAACCTTTCACAAGAGAGAAGAGTTCATTTTTTGAGTTGTCCCGTTTGCACACGAAGAGAAAACAGAAACGAAAATCTTCTGAAAAACGATAAATATCTGATTTTCCCATGCCCATTTTGTCCTGCGTTTGTGACACGGTAACCTTCAAATTTCTTATTCAACGACGAAGCTCAAAATTCGACGCTCTTCTTACCCCATCTCCGATTTCACCCTGACATTAGTATTCAATTTCTTTAAACTGTTCTCTGCACATTTCCTTTGATACTAGCAGAGAGAATGTGTTTAACAATCAGGAGCTTCTTGAATTGGTGATTCTTTCCTTTAATCTCATGACCTTTATATTTGATTCAAGGGTGATACTGTGGGGAGAAATTAGAAGCCGGTCACTCAAAGGCGTTAAAGATAAGTGTATTGCCTGAGATCGTTCATCCATACTTACTAATAGTAGTCCCAAATAGCATAGTAATAAACGATAAGAGCCATGAAGAAAAACGGCGTTACCACTGCATAGAAGACAACTTTCCACGGAGAAATCTGAAAAAAAAAATCGTTAAGTACTCTCATGCAATGCCACTTATTTTCCCATCTGGACATGCTCTTCAGTCTCTTTCATAGTCTTTCCGGCTTGATTAACTCCGCAGTTTGACACAGCGTTCAAACGTCGGGCATGCGCGAGAGAATCAATTCTCGCCGACCGCGCATCTATTTCCCGCGCAAAATTTTTAAAGGAACACATAGGAAACAACCGCTGTCTTGCAAAATAGGCGAAATAAATTATAAATATTCTTAGAATCTGTAAAAGGAAACAGATGTGGGGAGAAGGTAAGCTCGAAACTTCTCGAACCGAAGCTTAGTCAAGTATGGGTCACCTGTTAATTTACCATTCTGTTTTGAACTTTACCACAACAGTCACATGATTCTAAAACACCGTGACTTGCTAGCTTGTGTGGTTGTTTGCAACTCGTGTGAGACAACTTCGTTCTGAGAGCCTAAAAAAACGCCACTCACCTCTCAAACTTATCTTTATAGCCAAATATTACTATTATTCTTCCCTCTTTCTCTTACTTTTCAATGTATATTAACTTCTATTAATAGTGTGAAAGTTCAAAAGTTCAAAGTCATCACAACGTTACCATATGCGCAGACGTTTAACCGCTGTGTTTCTGGCACTCCACTGTCGTATACTTTCATCTACCTACCTTACCCCATCCATTATGGCTACACTGATCCTTTGTGTCTTTTTTTTTTTTTTTTTTTTTTTTTCATAACCACAGTGTAATAACAAGTTTGCATGTTTACTATAGATCCAAACAACAATGATCAAAACATTTTCTTAACTTACTTCACTGGATGGTAACTCCCAATAATCCTTGCAGTTTAATAATGAACATGTGTTGCTACTGATCTCCTCTATAAGCAGAAAAACATGAATTAAGAAAATGAACAACATTTGAGCACTGTCCTAAGAAGTCACTCATTTTTTTTTTTCCAGCTCGATATAGCCTTTGTACCAGCTCGATATAGCCTTTGTACCTGCATAGTTTAGAGGTTCTGAAAAGCAGGAAAATCTGAGATGACTCTTGGTCATAACGCACAGACCTTACGGCGCTCTGTCCTTAGGTTATAACCGTGAGCCAAATATTTTCCAGTAGGACCCTTCATTCAGTCAGTGAGTACATAGTTTTTATCTGTGGACCAATCAAACTTGTATGAAGATAATGAAGTATGTACCACAATGTTTGTGTGAATGTAAAGAGCAGGCAGCTCACCAAATAGTTTGAATTCCTCCTCAACTGATAGATTGCCCTTAGGAAGGCAACTTCGCATTAAAGCCTGCAATGATAATTAAAAAAAGAGATCAGCTATCAGCTCTATGTAAAATAGTTGCATAATTGGTGTTATCACATAGATGGAGGTTTAGTCTTTAAAAGAACAGTTGTCGGTGATGGCATGATCACACTGTGACAACCTGAATATAAGTCATCTTTAGAGTCAAATTAAGAGTTTTTGTCAGTTGAAAGTATTGTATCTGGTTTGTGGAAATTTTATCGCCAATGTTTGCTTCTATTTCAGTGACTGTTAGACTCAAATGAAGACTCAATTACAGAATCATACAGTGAAATTACAGCAAGATTTCTTATTTCTTCTCACTAACTGCATCTTTGAGAAACCTGTGCAACTGCAAACACAAGAGTTGATCCTTTGACTTCTAATAGTAGCATCTTAATTGTTAAGCAAATTCTCCTTGTCAGCACCTTAGGAAATGGATAGAGAACAGTATGGAGAATATGTGCACTGATGTTCGGATGTACGGGGTTAAAGTCGAACAGCTAACTTCCCACACACAAAAAATATTCCAGATTACCTCACATCTCTTTTTGCGAACAGTTAGTTTGTTTTCTTTGCACAGTTTCTTTTCCCAAAAGTTGTCTTTTCCCTGGTTTCTGAAAACATCACATCTGAAGATGTCACAAAAATCAGCTAGACACACTGTAGAACCCTACATGTAAGTAAAGGTAGAGAAAGAAAAACAGCTCCAGTTAAGTCAGTGCACTGAATGTCATCGCTAACTTTACTGACCATGTACAACAAAAGATTCAATGATGGGTAATGTACATTTTGTACCACATTGCAGCAGTCACAATTGCATACCAGAAATGAGATAGTGCTTCATTCAGGAAGATTTATGAAACAATCCAATTTCTATCATATTACTTAATTTCCCATGCATGAGATTACTGTGTGGTGGATCTCCTCCCCGAGGTGGGATGGTGGGTACAAAGGGGTTAGGTGTCAATTGGGATGAAAGTTCTGTTCCTTTCTCCTGCTATTCCCATGGAAAATAAACTCAATTCTTAAATTCCTAAATTGCAGAAAATGAGGCAAGCCCAAGCTCTCCATGATTCAGTTTTTTGCGTGTACATATATTTATCATGTATAGCAAACTAAGGTAATGTCTATTTATGAACCAAGTGGCCCATCAGACCAGCACTTAACTCTAGTTTCCATAGCATGAAGTGACTAGGAGTACTTTTACTCCCCTCTGGATGGGATGGTAGTCCATCACAGGGTTACCCCCCAGCATTAAATACCTGAGTGAAGAGATGCACTGTGTCTTGCCTAAGAACACAACACAATGCCCCCCACCAGGGCTTGAACCTGGACCAGTTAATGCAGAGTCCAGCACACTAACTAGTTGACCAAATAATATCTACATTCCAAGTCCCAAGCTCAAACAAAACGATGCTGTAGTGCATCAAGATCCCACTGCAATAAAATATAGTATACTCAAGATTACCTTCAGTAACTGGTCACCATGTCTGTTATCGAAGTGTAAGTCAAGATAATGTTCAGAGTAGAAAGCCTTGCCACAGAAGTTGCACACCCATTTTGAGGCATACTCCTGTATTTTATTTTCCTCTTGAACACTGTACAAATCTCTGGAGGAGTGCAGTGGACATTTTATGTGGGGTTCTTGGTTCTTGACTTGGAATGCATTATAGAATTGCTGCAAGGAAAAACATTGGAAAGGACATCTGAAACTTGAAGGGTTTCCAAGGCTGTGCTCCAAGAAAAAATGAAGGGAGCCCAGTGCTCTAACTTTGAAATCCAGGGTGCCTGCCATATGTTTTTTTTTTGAAAAAACTAAGATTCCTGAGTCGCCCAAGCGAAAAGTAAGGCGCCAAAGGCCACCAGCCCATATTTCTGGAATACAGGTAAACATTTTTTTTCTTCTTCTTGTTGCAATTGTCATTGCTCTTATTTTGTGTTTTGGCTGATGTCTGATTTCTCTGAAGGTTAAGACAGTTTATAGAACATGTTTCATAACCCATAATTTTTAAAATTTCTTTCCAACTATATTTTTACTGCAAAAAAAAAATCAAAACAAATTTGCAAGAAAAATCAGTTTCACCTTAGCTAAAAGTTGTTTCAAGATCAAAACCTTGATAGTGATAAGTCCACAAAATAGGTAACATTTGATTTTTACCACAGTTGGCAGTAATGTTTGAATTGTTGTCGACAACAGTACAGACAATGCTGCTTACGTCAATGTATCACCTGATATACAACACACTGAAAAAATTACATTAACTGATGTCAATATTGTGGTAAAAAACAAATCGACAGCAGTTCAGCATGGTCTGTACTCTTATTGACCACAATAATCATCATCACAGTGATCAAATTTTGTTGCGGACTCACTTTGCTACGCCTTGTGAGTCAACAACAGTTTGACCACTGTGATGATGAATATCATCATCGATAAGAGTACACTGAGACCATGCTAAACCACCATTGATTTGTTAAATAATCCTATTAACTCTCTCGAGCTTACCTCTATCAACTGATTCCGCACAATCCGGGAGAGGGGTCTAGAACAGTGATTATGGGGATTTGTTGTCTGTATACAATGCATGAGCTGAAACTAAATGGAATGTCCATTGAAAGTTTACAATTCATTATTAAAAATTACCCTAATTTTTAAAATCACTGCTTTTGCAGAAGACCACCTTAATCTCTACTTTGAGTGGAACTACATCACATGTAGGCATGGGCTCCTGACGTTAGAAACATCAGAAGCGAAATAACCGTCAGAATATGTTTTCTCGTGCAGACAATTGCGTGAAAAGCATAATATACATGGATAAAACTTACAAAGAACGCGCTCGCTAAATAATAAAGCAGAATGATCCATGATCTTAAGAGCTTATTTTTGTGGAAAACCATTGATTTCTTCAATAAATATCCGTATTTCTGATCCCCACAAGCAGTTCTCAAAACATGTCAACTGCTCCTTTCAGTCCAAAAACACCGCCATTTTCAAAACAAACGCCCGCACATCTACCTTTCAGTGGTCAACACATAAGAATACAAGCTCGCGATACATCTTACTCGTGCCATTCTCTCCCGTCGTTATCAAAATGGCGTCGCGTCGATGTGTTCGCATTTATGTCAGTCACATTGAACTTACAAATTAGGCGCTTAACGGAGTTCTCCTTTCATTTGAACGTCTAAAGTATAAAAACTGGAACAGTTTTAGCATGGCTCGTTCTAAAAGGTGAGCTTTTGTCTTGTCTATATCAACGAAATTGAGGGATAACTACTGATTTGAAACGGCGCACGTGGACATATTTACTTTGATTTCAATCTGTATACAACCTTGCAGACGCTAGGAACTAAACCTGTGATCCTTGTATTGTTACAGTTTTTAGTAATCTATGTCAGGAAATTTCGGAATATGATAATTATTGAACAAAAGTGAAAGATTTCAAATCCACTATACTAACGAAACACCACTGAAAACTAATGATTGAAAGATGAAATATCATGTTTGAACAAGGTTAAGGTTTTGGTGCTCTCTAGTCATTTGCTCTGACGCTATTCTGGATTTTGAGAACTTGTAGTTTAAAAGATAGGTTGAAAGGAATGGATATCATGATTGAACAAAATCTTCGCAAATTTCGAGTAAAAACAAATACTGGCAAACAAATGATATCATTTATGGCCATTGATCTTTCGCATGAACTGCCTTATAAGTTTAAAGACCTAATTCAATTTTCTTTCTCCTAAAGTGTTAAAAACTTTATTCTATATCAGTAATATCAAACCTAAGTTTCCACAAATCAAAAGTGCTAAAACTATCTATCATTCAAGTTATCTCAAACACAAGTCTTCCACAATTCTTCTAGCTTTTAATTCAGTAATCCTTCCCTCTACTCCCAGTTTCTTCTATGTGAATCTAAAAGAGATGGAGGCTGACTCGATAACCTCACGGTTTTCTTAGCCTCCATGCACGAACTCTGGAAGGCTGTTACCTTTAATTTTTACCTATGTATCCTTTCCTGTTTTTTTTTTTTAATGTTAATATTGTAACTGAAACTTGAGTGCTAAATAAAATAAAGAGTTCATGAATAAGTTAGCCTTGTATCCTCTGTTTTTCTTCCAATCAAGATCAAGGAAGCGAGGTAAACATGAGGTTGAAAGTAAAGAAGAGGTTTATGATGAGCCAGATCCTGTAAGTGAAGATGTACACAACAGCTGCAGTATCATTTAATACTGAGACTACAGATGAAGTGATTATAATGCTTGGCATAATGACTGTTCTTTGTTTAGATTATCAGATTCATCAACAAGCAAATTACAATCACTTCAGGACGTTGCATCAACTGATTTTCATTGCTGAAAATTTGATATAAAAAGTCCTCATTTTAAATTAACATCCGAAAGAATGAGATGTCATTCACCCTTTGCATGAATAGGGGACTTGATTAGTATTATTTTGATTTTCATGTAGATTAGCCTAACCAGCCTGGTCAGGATGTGTCTAAGGAACAGTTAAAACGTAACTCTAAGATGAGGCTAGTTAGGTTAAGGTAAATGAGTACAAAATAAAACCAATTGGGTCTGCCATGTATTCATACTGTCTAGGGTCTAATCAGGAATTTCTTTAAGAACTGAAGGAGCTGGACAATACTTCCTGTTGCTTCATGGCACAGGACCTAAAAAAAGTATTCACAGTTATAAATTATTTGGCATTGATCCAAAGTGCAGACTTGTGTGTAACCTTAGTTCTACTGTACCTCATCAATAGTAATAATAGAAGAATAATGAGACTTGCACAAACACTTGTACTTTTGATAGGAAGGAGATGATTATTTTCACGATGACATTGACAAATTTCATGCTGAGAGGGAAAAGGTGAGTTTCTTGAAGCAGAATTAGTCATAATTTGGACTCTGCAAAGCTTAGTTTAGAAATTGTTTTGTGATCTCTGGAACACAAATACTTGTGACACATGTAGATCCATTCACAAATAAAATGAGGTATTTGAATTAAAAGTTAGAACACAACAAACTATCATAATGATAACAGAAAATTAAATTCAATCTCTCATTTTGTATGTCTTGTCTTTGTTAAGATTCTTTTAGATAGTAGTGTCTACAACAAGGACAAGGAAGAAGGTTTTGATACTGAAAATCAACAGGTATGCAGTTTGAAATTGTGTAGTAATTTGTTTCAGCTTGACAATTTCAGCAGTGGACCAATTTGTCAAAAAACATTGACAGACAAAAGCAGTTGCTATAAAAAAACAGAGTTTGTATTACGATTTGGCAGATTTACTTCACTAGGTGTGATTCTTGAAAAACTGACTGAAAGCCACTTTTACTGAACAATTTTATTGTACTTGAAGGATGAAGAAGTAATAGCCTTGGACATTGGTGATTCTGATGAGGAGAGTGATGACAGTGATGATGATGATGATGATGAAAGTGATATTAATACAGATGACTTGGAGGAGGATGATGAAGTTGATGAGGTATGGTGTACATCTATTGTAATGTAATTTGAAGTTCTATGTAGATTTACTCCCTTTTTTCGAGTGATTGGTGCAGAGCTGTTGTAGTCACATTTAGAGGCACCAGACAGTTTTGAAATGTGGGGGGGCCTCTCTTTCATTCAGCCATGTGCAAATCTCTACTCAAATTTTCCAAGATTCCCTTTATGTTGTTTGTTAGCACAAGCAAACCTCTTACAATCTTTATGGTTTTGAATGCGTCTGTATCAATTTTTTTTTCAGCACAGTCTAAATCTTTCACCTTAGCATTTGATTGGGTTCCCATAGACAAAATGAATGCGTCTAATTTCCCATAGACACGCTGTCTAGATTGATGGAGTACTGCTGCAGTTGATAAGCTTCTGACATGCAGGCTAGAGCTGTTGAAAAGAAGTTTTACAACATATCATTTGCCAAGCACAATGCTGATAAAAGGATTTGTCAAAATATCACAAGATTGAATATCTTGACAATTTTTATGTTGCACTAAGGATATTTTTGGCACCAAAATGTGGGGGCTGTAATTTTCACTTTTCTTAAGTGGTTGCCTCTATTTACAAGGGGCCATAATTACCCTTTACTGAGTTCTAACAGCCTGCTTGTCCTCTGCCTGAATGGAACAGTCACATAAAGAGGAACACTCAAATGAAACTAAGAAGAATCTTTTAAGAAAAATCTAATCCATGTTTATCTCAGGTAATTTATATAAGTAGTAGATTTTAGTGGGTTTTTGTGCAAGAAGTAATCAATTATGTTTTTTTAATCATTAACAATTATTTGCCAAAGGCAAGGTGAAAATCGTCGAATAATCCCCAAGATGAAGTCGAGGGGATTATTCGACAATATTCACCGATCCTGAGGCGAATAATTGTTTTAGTATAATTTCAGAGCGGAACAACAGAGAAATTTCTAAAATCATAAAATTTTAGTAACATTTATTAACATTTTATTTTAACATTTTATATAAAACGCATGGAGCGGCTTATATGGCGTCATGTAAGGAACCACTCGACCAATCAGATTGCTGGAAACTCTTTGCTCAGCTCTGAAATTATACTAATTTTTTATAATACACCTTTTCTGTGGAACCTGTATTTTGCACTCAACCTGTATTTAGTGATCACCTTGCCATAATTTCCAAGTGAGTGACTCCTCAGTCAAGGTTGGATTGAATTTAAAATCTTCCAATCCTTTGTAGGAAGATGAAGAAGAAAGTGGAAAGGAGGAAGATGGTGGGAAAGGTTGGTATAATTACCAGAGTTTATAGTTTTAATACAATTTAGTTAGTTATCATAATTTATTTTAATTTTAAATGTTAGTACCGTAGGCCTTCACAGATGAAGAGCCACACCTTTTATGTGGATATACTGTGATTAAACCGTTATTATTATTGTTATTATTTATTTTTATAATTTATTATTATTATTTATTGTTATTATTATCAAGATGCTGATGCTTACAATGGATGAAAACCTAACTATAAAATATCATTATTCTATATAATTGTAAGCCTTAACAAATGGTAAATAAAATGCTTAAAATGTTTTTTTTTTTTTTTTCCCATAGGCATGCCAAGTCAAAAGTCTTGGGGTAGAAAGAAATCTGCATTTTATGATGCTGATATTGTTGAAGAATATGCAGGTGAGTGTATTATGTTTCTTGGTGGCTATTTTTAATTCCTAGTATTTGTGACTGATTAGTTAATAGATTAATGGATTACATGTAGTAGATCATTAAAAGACAAATGTAAGTTGATAGTCCCATTAAACTCCATCCATGATTCTCGGTCCTCAATTCATGAAAACTCATTAGGATCAACTTAGTGTGAAGAAATTTTAGGTCATTTGAGAAATTACTGATGGAGGGTTTCATAAACTGTGGTCAGCTTTTGACTTGTGATAGACTGATTGATGTCACTGATGCCACCGGCATCTTTATTTCATTGTTGACAAGAAGTGACTGTTCTGTTGTTTTAATGCCATTATTCTATTATGTTTTTGTCATTATCAGTATTATGACTACTGGTAATATCATAAAACAGGTTGTAAATATTCACAATTGTGAACTACAATTATTATTTAAAATGGGCCTTATCATTTCTCCCCCAGTGTGTCCTCTTTCAATATGGATTCTGACATTCTAGCTTCATATTGCTATTGTCATCAGGGTCCAGTTGTATAGAGGGCAGATAACGTTTCCCAATAGTTTAAATTGCAATCCAGTGGATAACTGTTAACAAAACATACTGTGCTATCTAGGGATGTATCCAGGGATAGCCTATCCACCTTTTGAACAACTGGGTCCAGGGGATTAGGCTGACCGTTTGAAACATGTCACTACTATTGTTTTAATGTGTTGATCCATTGTTGTTGTTGATGTTGTTGTTGTTGTTGTTGTTGTTGTTGTTGTTGTTGACAGGATCTGATGAGGAGATGGATAAGCTGGCGGAAGAAGAAGAGGAAGAGGCTCTGGCCTTACAGAGACAAATTGCTGCTTCTTTAGAAGAACAAGATTTTGATGCTGCAGATTTTGAAGTGAGCTTCAATAAGTAACCTTAAATGTACATTCGGACACAGCATCTGTCCACAATGAGTGGCAAAAAGTCTTGGGATTTGACAAGTAGTGCACTCTAGCTAAGAGCTTAGAAAGATAAGATTTAATACTGTGTAGGGGTGGGGAGTGGGATGCAAAATCCAATACCACACAACCAGGCTGAGAAACAGTGAAGTGTGCCAAGATTTTTGCCACACATTGCTGTACATGGTTCATACTATCTACATGTTTCTGTAATTGTACTTTTTGTAGTCAGCCATAGAATTAGTGAAGACTGCTATATACTCTGGCAGTGAGTTATTGAAGTTCTTCTCTCTTTTCGTGTCATTTTAACTTTTTTTTTTTTATTTTCAGCTTCCACAAACACCTCACAAGAAAGTAAAAGAAGTAGAACTAAATAAGGTACAGAACGGGAGTGTACCATTTGTGTAGTTAGTCAGAGAAATGACAGCTTTGACTGTATGCTGCTTCCTGGTTTTGAAATTGAAAGAAAACTTATTGTATCTACAAATAACTAATTTTCAGGAGAAGGTTGTTCAAGACCTCACAAAGTTGTCAAAGACTGAAAAGATTCAGGTATGTTAAGTGTGCAGTGTACATCTGCAAGGAAATTTTTATCAAACTCACCCCCGTGACATTGTCTTGAATTTCCGTGACAGATTTTGATTAAAGATTCTCCAGAACTTCTGGGTCTCCTGGATGAATTCAAATTAAAGGTAATATAAACAATTCATTTTGTACTCACTTCATTGTTGTGCCTTCTTTATTAGCTGTTTTGAACAGTGTAACCACAAAAACAAGCAGCGATTTATTGCAAAGCTACAAGGGAATGCTTCTTTTGGTAGGCCCATTTCCGCTATGCACATCATAGGCTATAGATAAACTCCTTCCATCACAGCTGGTTTCTTGCCTCCCAAAATACGTAGTGTCATCTTAACATAGATCTTTTAATTTCTTTTCCTTTCCATAAACAGCACTTAGTGTTTGAAGGCTTATTTAACTGAATGCCCTCTCAATTTTTCATTTTTAGTAAGCATCCAAGAAACGCCCAGTTACCCTAGCTATTCATTGTTTTCATAAGTTTGTGATAGAGACAGTTTTTCCCGCTTTATTCAGAAAGTGGTTCTAACCCGGGAATAATGATCAGTTTCACTTCTTGTTTTGTTATGTATCGCCCCTGACACCAATGAGTCGACCAAAACGATATTCCTTTACTTGCTCATGGTAACGTGGCCACAAAGTTTATCCTGGAACAAGCAATACATGAATGCTTTTATTTACTCTTTGTTTTCATCAGCTGAAAGAAGTCACAGAAAAATTGCATCCTCTTGTGAAGATGGCTCGAGCAGGCCAAGTCCCGAAAGAGGTACAGTATTTTAGCTACTTCTGAGCCATTATAGTCATCGAAGATATCTTTTTAATGCTTTTTCATTTTTCTTGTTTTAGGGTGCAGACTATCTTGAACTGAAACACCAGCTTTACCTCAAGTAAGTGACAAAAAGAAGTGTAAATCAGCCTTGTGTAAACTCCAAGCTACTGGTAATCACGTGCGACTTCCCGGTTGGCTATTCGAAAGGTATCGAGGAATAAATAAATAAAAGTAAAAAATTTAAACTTGACGAACGTTTATCATGAAGAAAAGGACAAGTGAAAAGATTCAACGTGAATAAGTCTTTGTTTGAGCTGAAATATCGTTTTTCTCTTTACGTAACAGTTATTGTGTCAATATTGGGTTTTATTTGCTGTTGAAAGCCAGACAAACTTCTGTGAGAGATCATCCGGTGATTGAACGACTTCTCCAGTACAAAAAGGTGAGATTAATACAAGTGAAATCTTTGCTACTGTGTATTCAATGTACACAAAGCTCCCACTTTGGAAACTTACTTGTGAGTAGTTATGAGTGCAGGATACTTTTGATAAAACTGATTGCTTTTAGAGAGATTTATTTTGACATTATTTAGTCGTCTCACTGGTGCTGAATCAATAAGAATTGCGAAAGTTAAGAGAAACGATCAAAGGATCGTGCTATTTTTTTTTTCTTTTTTGAAAAGCAGTTGTGATAAATAGCCGAAAAAGACGGAATGAATTGAATCTGAATCAGTGGAAACTGGCGATGTCGATGCGATGGTCTAACTTACTGAGTTAGGGTAACATTGACATTGAAAGTGTTTACGCATCATTTAAACTCATGTACTCCTGTGTTAGAGATGAAGTCGAATTATGAATATGAATAAATTCCTGTGAACCGAAAAAAGTATTGAAAATTAGAAATGATCTTGGAGTGATATCTTGAAACTTAGGTAGGCGAAGCGTGGGAATTCACTCCGGGGTCGTTATAACATTCTTTTATCTAAAAATTCTGATAATTTTTTGGTTACCACCTTTGTGTTATTTTTTTCTGAGGAAGAGTGATGATGTATATTCCTGTACACTAACTATTGTATTTAAACTTTGCTTCTTGTCGCCTTTTTGAAGCTCCTAACAGAACTTGAACCACTAGATGAGAGGTTTAAGCCGGAGATTGAAGAGTTTCTTACAAAGAGCCAAATCTTACGCCAAAACGGTAAGATTTTGGTGAATGATCTTTTGCTTTTCAGGGTGTGCATAGTTTTGATTATTATTTTTTTTTTGTTTTGTTTTTCGTATGATCTGGTGGTATGACAACAGCTGTTAAGACGTGTTATATGTGAAAGAGGTGCACGGCATTCCAAGTGAGAAAAACGTCTTTCTTCAAACGTTGCACATTGGAACAGATTGCGTCGTACTATAACGTTTGAGTTTAAAGGAATTGTCCAATTTCGGACAGTTGCGTCCGATTTCGAACAGTTGCGTCCAATTTCGGACAGTTGCGTCCAATTTCGGACAGTTGCGTACAACTTCGGAGTGCTTCGCCCAATTTAGAACGGCTTGCTTCGATTTCGGACAGTTGAGTCTAATTTCGGACGATTCCGAGCAATTTCGTTGGGTTCGGGTTTAGTATGATTCTCGGTGCTCCCGCAACTGCAGGATTACAATATCTTTTCATTTATTTTGTTGTTTGTTTGATTTTCCTCTTGTAAGGTACACAAAAGGAAAATGATAGCAAAGCTGACAGTAGTCAGGTAAGAAACAGTTCGCGCACTTTCAAAATCAAAAGAACTTGAGGAAAATAAAAAATTGTTACGATACCGTCGATTGCATTTACCCTTCCACGAACGTAATAAAAACAAGTTAACCCATGTTGTCACATTCCCGCACACGTCGCTCAGTGTTCCCCGCTCATCAACCTGTGGACTAGCGTCTACTTTCTCCTTCATTATTATCCCTGAAACACGCATCAAGGTCACGAAAAATTAGGAAATTATCACCAATTAAACAGGGCTCGACACTAACGATAGCCAACTAGCCACAGACTAGTAGAAATTCAGTTTTGGTTAGTGGTTTTCGATTTCCAGTAGCCAGTTTGGCTTGTAAACAAACTGAAATTGTTGTAACATCTAAGTTGTTACTAGCCACTTGGCTAGTAAGTTGAAAAGTTAGCGTCGAGCCCTGATTAAAGAAGCTCTTGATTGTTAAACAAATTCTCCTTGTCTGCACCCTAGGAAATGCATAGAGAACAGATGGAGAATATGCATACTGATTTAAGTTAACCATTAACCCTTAATTTTTCCTGGTGATAGTACTCTTGAATCACAGGCTCATGATTTTTTAACAAATTCTCCTCGTAAGTGCTATGGGAAATGTCTTCAATATACATACTGATGTTTGGGTGTATAAGAGTAACGTTCTAAATGTGTCTGTGGTTTTTCAGGAACAATCCGAAAAACCTCAAAAGTCTGTAAAGTTGTCAAGTCTTCTCGATGATAGCGATGACGATTACGGCGAAGCAGGAGACGGTAAAAATGAAAACAAAGCGAAGAAAACATCGGAGAAAGGAAAAGTATGTAATTGTATAATCACTGTTCAGTTGGAATACGGTGATCATTTTTGTTTTGTTCGTACAGGAAGGCAAATTGAATAAACTTCAGAAGGGCATTAAAGGAAAAAGGAAGATGGAGGAGGATGTTGAGGAGACAGACCCGTTAGAATACTATGAAGCAGTCAGGCTGCAGAAGAAAATGAAAAGAGAAGCTAAGGAAGCAGCTTATCGGTAAGAGGTGGGGCGCTGGAGCGCGTGAAGTGAGGCCTGCGAGAGGTCAGCGGCGAGTCTGGTAAAAAATGCACCAAACCCCTCACTGGCACGAATCTCGCGGCCGTAACTCACTCGTGACGCAAAATGGACGAGAAGTTACTCGAAGGCCAGGGAAACGCCATCACGCAAGAGTGATCGCAGCGACTATGATATTTAGTTGACTGTATCGTTCTAGATTTTTTGTTCGTTTGAAATAAGAAGTGTTTAGAGGACCTTCACTTGAATTTTAGGTTCCACGATCATGGCTTTGGCTAATTAGGTTGTGTCGTAGACAGGTTAACGAAATGCCTCTATTCCGCAGAGGAAAAAATGGGTGGGGGGGGAGAGATGGGAGACCTCTACTTGGGAAGAATTGATTTAAAAGCCAAATAAGAAATAAGCTCAACTAACAGTCTCAAAGTGATCTTTAATACGACCAACATGCGAGTTTTACGGTAACATGCCACGGGAACGTCCTTTGCACTTTATCTATCGCTCATTTTTTATTTGCTTGGATTTTAGTTTCACGCCTGAACAGTATGATGCAAAGGAAGAAGAGAGCGAGGAGGGAAAAAGAGGAATTACCTACGAGGTTAGAACTACAAGAGTTACAACCATTACGAGCGTTTTGCTTGATTAACCCTTCGACCCTAATAGTGACTAGCATCTAATTTCTCCTTACAATATCACCACTGAATCACACATTAAGGTCAGGAGAATAAAGGAAATGATCACCAACTAAAGAAGCTCTTGATTGTTAAACAGATTCACTTTTTCAGCATGTTAGGAAATGTATAGAGAACAGTAAGGAGAATATGAAGACTGATGTCAGGGTGTAAAGGGTTACCTTCCATAATTAAATATTACATGTCTGTCGTTTCGCTTCAGATTTCTCAAAATAAGGGACTCACAGCCAAGAAGAAAAAGGAACTTCGCAATCCGCGTGTGAAACACAGAAGAAAATTCTACAAGGCTCAGATAAAGCGTAAGAGTCAGGTATGATCCTTCAGCTTTTTTATTTCAATTTGTACGGTGTCTATTGTGGCTCTTGCCTAACCTGATGTTCTCATTTATTGTCCATTTCTCTATTATTTAACCTGTTTTTCTTGTTCTTGTTACAGGTTCTACCGGTTGTAAATGAGCAGAACCGGTATGGTGGCGAGATGACAGGAATTAGGTCACATCTCACCAGGAGTATCAAAATCAAATGAAAAATTATTAACTATATTAATTCTCCAATACACTCTCTCCTCATGCAGTTAATAGTTGGACCCAGGAGTAACTGACGGTCAGATCACACGATCAAATTCTCTCCCTATTGTAGAACATCTAGAAAGCTTTAAATTGTCGTGAATTTGAATCCTACTTTGTCTTGTATTTCAATAAAGGAGAAGCCATTATTATGGAGTGTATTCATCTTAATTTTTCATATCACCCATCTGTATACCCTTGCTCTGCGGAGAGATCAAAGTATCCAAGTTGATCATCCAGTTTTAGTGAAATATAAACCCAGAATACTCTGACTGATAAAGATATCAAATGAATATGACACAAACCGCTATCAACCCTGTAAGTCCCATGGGTGACCAAGACAGATTTTTCTCCTCACAAAATGAATACAATATTAAGCAGACACGTCATAAGAATAAAGAAATATAACAACTGGGTTTTTCTTAGTTGATACAAGACCACATTCTCCCAGCCACCATCAGGAGAATTTTATGGCAGACAGTAAGGAGAATTACTTATGAGATCTGGGAGTGAAAAGGGTTGAGTACTTCAAAAGATGTAGTTCACGTCACGATCAATATTAGCTCAATAGAATTAACTAAATGACCAATATTTATGGCAACGACTAAACGATAATGGTCCTAAGAGCTCCGATCGGTCGGTTGCCGATCGCGACTGAACATTTCTTGAACTTTTCTGCGAAGATTCTGAAAGGAAGATAAAAGGAAATAAGCCTCTTTAACTTACTGGTGGTGACACGCACAAAAGTATGTATTAAAGATACAGAAGGATGAGCAAACTGTAAGTTCGCTCTTGATACAGATCGTGCTACGTAACACAAGGAAATTATCAAGAGGCTGATATTTTCATCATGTTTTTTTCTTTCGATGCTAAGGAGCTATATATGGTCTTAGATTTACATCGAAGCAACAACAACAAAAAAAAAATGCCCGCATACTCAGTATCAAAAAGAAACAAAAACAAAAGATATCCAGGCAAAAATACAGACAAATCAAAAATTTTGTTACTTGCAAAAGCACATAATTCCCTAGTTTCGAGAGCTTTCTGGTTGTATGAGTTGCTTGGCAAACTCTAACCGTGAAAAGGAAAATCGGTAAACAGTTCGTCTATACCATCTCGGGCTTAGGCTCCACGGATGAATTGATTTAATAGAGACTTCTTTTTGTTCAGAACAAAGAGTACACGCGTCCAGCTGTGTCGGCTTTTAGTAGTTGAACTATCGATGAAACAAAATATCAGAAACCTTGAAATTGTCGAGTGTGAGCTAAAAGTACTACTCTCTGTTCCGCAAATAATTCACTCGCACTTCCGTTTCCATGGTCTAATATTTACCCAAAATGTCAGCGGTTGCATGTTTATAAGCCCTACCCTCTTCCTACCCTTGGTTACTTCCAATTGTCACCTATGACAGAAGTGTGGCGACTGAGATGGAGAACGATCTACAAAAAGTCACAGAATCCTTCGGAGCACTGCGAAAGAGGGCGAAAGAACTAGGAATTAAAGATTCACAGCTGACGAAATTAACCTCTGTGAAAAGTCTCCGTAAGAGACGATCAACCCGTCTTGTTTTTACCAGCTTTGTTTTCGGTTTGGTGGGAATATTGACAGGATGCGGATTAATACTTTATCAACAAGGCATGCTTTCAAATCAATCTCTTTGGAAAGTTGCTGAATATGTGTTGGATTTTGACATCGAGAAAGACTTTTGTGTCATTCCGTACCCTGAAATAATTTTGGACATGTTTCGTCCGCCTGTAAACTGTACCATTTGCGAAGACGTGCATCAAGTCGATAGAGTTTCGTTGCTTTCAAGAGATGAATTCGTTCGAAAGTATGCTTACACCTCGAGACCGGTGGTCATCACAGATGGAACAAAGGATTGGACTGCTTCTCGGCATTTTAGTTTCGATTATTTCAAGTCAATTTACGGTCCTGAAAGCCCAGTGTTGTTGTCAGAAGATGAGAAGTGTCAATTCTTCCCCTACAAGACGAATTTTAAGTCTCTCCAAGAAGTTTTCAATATGTCTAAAGAAGATGCAGATATGAAGGGGAAACCGTGGTACATCGGGTGGTAAGAGAGCCTTTTTTCTGTTTTCTCCTCATTCTCATGAAGTGTTATTTCATGTTATATGAGAGATTTATTTGATTGAAAACGGAAGTCTTAGTTTTGAAATTAGCGTTCAGCATTTTGTTAACTGCTTGTTAAAAAATCATGAAAATCTTGAACATGTTTTAGTTAATTAGTGTGAAAAGGTCAACCTCTGGATAGAGTCAACAATTCATTTGTGTGTGAGTCTGAAATTTTTGAAAAAGTGGCTAGAGAATTTGCCAAGCTAGACTGTAAAAGTCTTAGTGCTCTGTAATCCCATTTAGGACCCATTTATTGAAGTATTTTGCTCAATTATTAAGCGTATGACTTGTATATTACTCTTTGTTTACCGATAAGTTTCGTTTGAATATTTACAATCTGTAAGGAAGTTTGACCAAAATCTGAAAGTAGCCAGTCAACGGCTCAACCTTGAATTGATAGCAGATAGCTGTGGCCTGAATTCCTTATTCATTATTTACCGATCGTAGTTTCAATTGTCAATTCATAATCCTGTGGTAGGAATTATTTCGCTAAAAAGTAATTCCAAAAGCAGAACTTAAAAATTAATATGTTCAGAAATTTCCCGTAGGGATTGTATGCTTGAATATTTTTATGTATTTTGTTTTTTCAGTATTATTATATAGAGGCAAATGGCCAATACTCTTCACAAACTTTATCATCACAACAGATTAACAGACTAAGGAATTTTATGTGTTGCAAACAGTACAAAAAGGTTGCCTAACAAATAGCTTTAATGAGCCGTTCAATGAATGTGCTCAAATTTTGAATGTCTAAAGGAAGTAAAGGGTTGCTCAGAATTCTCTAAAGCATGAAGGAGAGCGATGAAAACAAATTGACAGCAACGCATGATTCATCAATTCAAGACGTGATATTACCTCTGGTGGTTTGAATGAAATGAGATTCACACAAGTCTGTTTCTGTTTTGCCTTGAGCTTACTAAAATTTATGTAGCCCCATACAGTTGTAGCACTTTCAAATTCTTTTTCAATGAATCAAAGTGATCTTTGCCAGATCTACATCAACTTTAACCCTAGTTTTAGAGTATATTTGAGCTGGCACAATGGACATATAGTTTTGCAACCTTAGGAAACTTTATTATTGGATATAATATGACAGATGGGGAATGATTTTCATTTTATAAATAACTCAAAAAATGTCTGTTTGAGAATTGTTCCTTTACATGTTTTTGTATATTGCTAAGCAGAGCACTTAAAAGCCATGCTATTATGGAAATGAGATTGGGGTCAAGAAAATTCACCTGTGAGTTAAACAAGCTATTGCTTGTCTGTTCATTCTGTTGCAAAAAGAAAAGAAAAGTTTGGTACTTTATTTCTGTATTATATTATATAAGGTGTAGAATATACATGCATGTTTTAAAAAGGATGTTATTTAAATTTTCATTGAACTGATGCTTGTTTAGGTCAAAGATAACATCTCTGTCCTATAATGGCTGAGCACTTTTAATTAAACACTGATGAATAAGAAAATGAAAAGGAGAAATTATATATAGATTTAGCCAAGCCTAAAAGCAGCGCATGCATTTTTTTTCCCACATCTCTCAAGGACACAATGCCTTACCCCGGCCAGGACTAGAAGCCGGGTTGTCTGACTCAAAGCCTAGTGCACTGAACACTGAACTACTGCACAAAGTTGTGGGTAAAAGGGAAGAACAGCTCCCTTAAAAGTCTGTCAGCCGACTGTCGGCTGGCAGTATACCAACAGTATACCAACAGTTGACTGACAGTTGACCAACAGCAAATTGACACTTAAAAATTTGACAAGTGTAAAGACATTGCAGTTACTTGACCCTTACCATTCTTGTAGAATTAGTCGCATGATGTCCCACAAATTGAGCTAAAATTGCATCATCGTATGTCCCGGGTAAGTTTATCTATGAAATCACCCTATAATGCATTGTGGTTTCTTTTGGGGCATAATATGTGGACTTTCAATTATCTTTGTTTGAGTTTATTTTTGGGTAACATTTTCAGTTAGTGTATTATTTTTCTACTTAGTCACTTGTCAGAGACAATAAAAGCTGCTTACGTTTAGTAAAGAAAAAAAAGCTGCAAGAAGCCGCTGTAAACAAATTTTTTGCTTCTTGACAGCGAGGATGATGTGATGGGATTGTGAGGGTTTTGGTATCTAAAAGACCTAAACATAGGAGATTGTGACGAGATTGGTCCCAAAAAAACCTAAACAAAATGGCGGACTCAAGTGAAAAAGTTTCATTTCGCATCGATATGCAGTGTTCTTCCATGCAAGCTGAGGCTTTTCAGGTATTGAACAGGGGTTCTCAACTGACACTTGGCCAACAAATTACGGACATGCTTCCAACGGTTGGCCCACAAATGGCCAAGATTTTCGTAAAAGGCGGTAAATGACAGTCAGCCAACTGTTGATCAACAATCGGCCGACAGTTTTTGGGGGAGCTGTTCTTCACTTTTTCCAAGTTGTGGCATTGATGTGCCTGTAGTACAGTTTACTGGGCATGCTAAAAGTAGCACCTTGTATGGACACCTCTATGGTCAAAAGTCCAAATTTTTTCAGCGTGATGGATTACTTCTACCATTTTGTATAATATTATGGGGCTATGCTCTGTGAGCTCAGCTATTACCAACCAGAAAGTACAGTGCATCTCTAAAGTTACAGCTTTTGCAATGAAAAATGATGACTTTTATTGTGATAAAAAACCTTATTCTGTTAATGATGAAGCTGCTCTTAGATATAATGTTTACTCTTTTACAATTTATTTTTTTCAACCTTGAGATTATCTTCAGTATTTAAAACTACATTTGGCTTGAAGTGAGTTGACAAGACCCATTCTGCGTGGGAGACAAAAAAGTATTCTTCACTCTTCCAAATTAGCATTCTAGATGATATGAACAGTAACTGGAAAGTTTTCCTTCCAGTTTTATATTCTCTTTTCTTTTTCAAAGATACTGTTTTGTTTTGCAATCATGCAGGTCTAACTGTGACTCTTCAGCAGCTAATGAACTTCGTAAGCATTACAAAATGCCATATTTTCTGCCTGATACTTCAGAATCAAGCAAGACTGATTGGTTGTTTATGGGCTGCCCAGGTTATGGTGCACATTTGCATGTAGGTGTTCTTCCTTTTCAAGGTGTAATGTTATAATTATTAATTAATAAATAAATGTAAAAAATATTTTTACTTCTGCTTATCTTTTATCAAGATTACTAAATGGAACATATGTTATCTGTGTGTGGATGGGTGAAGTTATGATCCATCAAACAGTTTTAAATTTTCATGGTATATTAAAGGGAAATAGCTTATTGTTTTTTGGCAATTATTTCAATCTATAGATTGACAATGTAGGAAACCCTTCCTGGCAAGCTCAAATTAAGGGAACCAAAAAGTGGACTTTGGAGCCTCCTCCAGAATGTGCCCATGTTTGTGATCCAAAGCTTCAGGTGACAGTCAACTCAGGAGAAATAAGTATGTCAACTTATATGTTTCTTTTGTTACTTTTGATAAAGAAAACCACTATTAGTATGGTTATTTACCTCCTCTCCCTCCCCAAAAAAAAACCTCATTAATTGTTGTACAATAAACACTTTTTAACCCTTAAACTCCAAAGATCTGATTGTTGATTCTCCCCTTAAGATGCTTAACATCTCCTTGTAAATCAGTTATGAGAGTTTGGCATTCAATCAAGAATGGATAATGTATGGATAATATAGGGAGAAGTTACATTTTAGTCACTTCTAAGAGTTAAAAGGTTGAAAGACAAAAAAAAAGAGAAAATCTTCCAGTGGAGTGGCATAAGGGTACATTCGTGTTTAACATACACTTTTGTTTGGGAGTATGGATTAATATTTGTTTACAAAAAGTTGATGTTACTTTTTACATTAATTACAAAATACACTATGTTTTTTATCCGTATTTCAACTCTGTTAGTTGAATTGATTTTGATTATAACTTTGGTGAATTTATTCTGGATTGTAGTTGTTTTGGACACAAACAAGTGGTTTCATCAGACAGACATTGTTGGTGAGGAACTAAGCATAACTATTGGGTCTGAATATGACTAAATGCTCTATTTTATACACTGAATGCAAATATGGTGGACTACTTGGTCAGCCTGGGTTAAGTTCCCCCAAAGCAAAGGTAGTCAGGCCTTGGTTTCTCTCCTGTGGAAAATGAAGTATCCAATATTATGGATGTTTGGGAAGTTGACAATGGTAAATTTCTTTCAAACCC